GTCATGATGAGTGAAGTCTAGTCATGATGAGTGAAGTCTGGTCATGATGAGTGAAGTCTAGTCATGATGAGTGAAGTCTGGTCATGATGAGTGAAGTCTAGTCATGATGAGTGAAGTCTGGTCATGATGAGTGAAGTCTAGTCATGATGAATGAAGTCTGGTCATGATGAGTGAAGTCTAGTCATGATGAGTGAAGTCTGGTCATGATGAGTGAAGTCTGGTCATGATGAGTGAAGTCTAGTCATGATGAGTGAAGTCTGGTCATGATGAGTGAAGTCTAGTCATGCTATGTAAAGTCATCTGCATCGCGTCTGCACCGCCTGCTGCGAAGCTCGCCACCTGCTCTCAAATAAAGCGTGCGAGACGCGACCTCCACAAATGGTGTCCGGGCAGACGAGTTAGTCGTCTCCTGAACCTGGCTGGTGTTGGGTCGTACCGCTCTCAGATACGTGAGTCTTTTAAAATATAGCCCAGGATATTGTAGACCAGTTTAACATATTACATCGATTGATAGATTATATTAATATGAATTAAATTATTCATTTAAAATTAATATTTCATCTAAATATTCATTAAAAATATTCATAAAAAAATTATGAAGAATATTCTTTTAAATAAATATTTAAGTGTCAATAATTCTAATTTGTCGTTATACTTGAAACAATGGGCGACTTTCTTTTATTTATTGGCATATTATGTGTTTAGCGAACACTTAACTTGTAGTGGAGCTGTTTACGGCATTGAATTTGGCAGTCTATTTATTCCTTGCAAAAATCTCTCAAAATGAAGGATTTATTCATATGCCAAATCTGTTATTAATTCATGCCAGACAATGTGACTCAGCATAGAAAAATTCAAGTTTTTTTCATATGAAGATTCAAGTCTTTTCCATAGAAAGATCCAGTTTTTTCCATAGGAAGATTCAAATTTTTTCCATACGAAGATTTAATTTTTTTTCTTTTCATAGGAAGATTTAAATTTTTTTCTATAGAAAGATTCAAGTTTTTTACACAGGAAAATTCGAGTCCGTCGAATCGTTCCACTTACTGTGACGATACAAGCGAAAAAATTACATTTTGCCAGCACAGAAAATTTTCTTACTATTTTTTGTACTGTATAAGTAATTTCACTGGAATTAAATTTAAAAACAAGCATTAAATCTCGAAAAAAAATTAAAATATGTACGACCTTAGTGGACTAAATTGTATAATTGGTATGTATTCACTGAAATAAATTGTTATAATAGGTGTTATCTCTCTTAAACTAATATTATTAAAATGAATTATTTCTATAATAGGCATGATTTCAATAAAATTAATTTTATCAGTTTAATGATCTAACTGAAGTCCCTTATTATAGCTAGTAAGATCTATTTAGCAATAAATGTTATAATTTGTTTGAAGTTATTGAAATGAATTCTTAGTGAAAGAATTTTTGCTTAGTCTGATTCGTCACTCTGAAACGATGTTTTGTAGACATTAATAATGTATAAAGATAATCTACCAACACAAATTTAGTTATCGAACTATCGATGTTGCTTGAATTTCACTCTTGCAAGTACCATCCTGTGCTATAGATTCAGAAGTTATTTTTTACAATGAGTGACTTTGAAGTAATTGTCAAAACGAAAAAATTTTAAAGTTAAATTTTTTACAAAATTATTTTATTTTCCCTTTCAGGTGATCTAAGTGAGAATTCGCTGTAATGCAACTTTTCAAATTACTTGGTATCTTCCTGCTCGGGGTGAGAAACAGTTCATGGACTGAATTACACATACCGCCCGAAATACACGTTTTTTCAAATAGTCAATAATAGCAGTTATTTGCATAATAGTTTGAGACTTGAAAAAATCATAGTTATTTATCGATTCATAGATGTACGGCCAATTTTTCGGTCCTCGATGACTAGATATCACAATGACAGGTGGGAAATATTTCGTTCCCTTGGACGTCTTCACGCAACACAGTCAATATTTCTTTTTAAAACAGTTAACGTTATTACGCAACACGGTTAAGGTTTTTTTGCAACACAGTTAATTAACATTTTCACGCGACACATTCAACGTTTTTACGCAACACAATTAAAGTTTTTTTTGTAACACAGATAATGTTTCTTAACAGAGTTAAGATTTTCTTGCAACACAGGTTATGTTTTTACGCAACACTGTTAACATTATTTTCAACACAGCTAACGTTTTTTTAACACAGTTATTTTACAACGCAGATAACGTCTCTACGCAACCCAGTTAATGATTTTACGCAATATTTCTCTGCATGTTGGAGGCATCATTCGTGGACTCGGACGTTTGCCCGAATTATCAGGAAATGAGGCTCCTCATAACTCACAATGTACAGTTGTGTATACCACATCTCACCTCACAATATGCTGATGTGTGGACCCTCATAACTCACAATGTACAGTTGTGTATTCCACACTCACCTCATAATATGCTGATGTACATGTATGGACCCTCATAACTCACAATGTACAGTTGTGAATGCCACATCTCACCTCATAATAATTATGTTCCAGGTTCTCTTGGTCGTCGGTGCCGATGCCAGAAAAAGGTAAGCAAAACTAAACTAACTCAAAACATATTTAAATATGTAACCTTTAGTGCATTTGAATTATTTACTTCCATTAAGTATCTAGGTTCTCTGACGAAATTCAACAAGAACTTACGAATGATATTGCCATACATTAACTCAATTAGGTGATTATGATATCCGTTCGCATCCATTCAATTCATCCATTCAACCGTCCATTCAATCAACTCCGAAATCCATTCAATAACTTTATACATATTGTGGGAGTTGCTTGTTTGACTGTATAGATGTGCTTGACGCTTGTCACTGCCAATATACATATAAGTGGGCTGGTCGGACGCTTATCCGCGATGTTTATTGTGTCAACATATTGAGAGGGAATTTCGATTTTACTGCTATAATACTGTGACACTGGAAATGGAGGGGAGATCTAGATATAAAAATTAAATTGTGTTTTTTACGTTAATACGAATTAATTTTATTTAAAAAAGTAAACTTCTCTTTAAAATTTAAAATTGGTCAAACGAAATATATTGGTCTATAGCTGTCCTATATATGGGTTTTAATTAGTCATTTTTGAATTACAATACTTGTTTCAATTAGTTTCAAAATTAAAAATTCAGAAAATTAGTTTCAAAATTGTTGGCTGAATTGGGTTAGCCTGTCGCACATCACCACTTCCGTGCTTCAAATGGACGATCATGATCCCTTCCCTCAAGAACGTACATAGCCTCCAACACTTCTGGACTGTAATATTTTCGACCGCTGGCTACCGGCCAGATCACATCTATGGAAGTAGACCAATCAGCCCACAGGAAAGCAGCCGGCAATAGTATGTCCTAGCATCTTTTGCTAATGCGCGAAAAAATTCTGCACAACTCGGAAAGAATGCATCGGAGTCTCGCAGTGAATATGAATATGTGATAGTTTAAACGTGATTTGAGGCTACGTTCTTTGAGGGAAGGGATTATGATGGCCCATATATACAAAGCAGGGTAGTGGCGGTCTCCGACAGGCGTCCTAACTCCGAATAGCATTGCTAGAAATTATAATGATATCATACCAATTTCTCATCCGATATTTCTTGAGACATTTTTTCATTAATTTATAATGTATTTTCACTTATAATTTCCTTGCTTCTCTGAAAGGTGCCCTAAACTCGAACCTGGTACCATTGGACTCTGCTGGGAGCGCTGCTCGACGCACGCCGATTGCGCCCCTAATGGCAAATGCTGCAGCAACGGCTGCGGCCACGAGTGCTATTACTGAAGCCTGAATTTCGGCCAGATGTTCAAAATTCCTGTTTTCTCACTCAAGAAAAAATTAAAGAAATTTTACCCTCTTTTCGTTCAAGAAACAGTTCAGGGAAATTGCACTCTTCTTTCACTCAAAGAAAAAGTCAAAATAAGTTTAGCCTCCTCTAACACAAGAAAAATGTTGAGGGAATTCCAAACTCCTTTCATTGGTGAAAATTGCCAATCAATTGAGTTCTACTCTCCGTAACAAACGAACATATGTTTCTTCTTTTATCTTATAAGATGTCGGTAACATTTTTACTTAGATTCTTTGCGAAACGAATTAAATTTCATATTGCGTTCATGACACTAAAGGGCCGTCATCCCTTGAATCTACAATAAATATTAAAACATCACTATCGTTTATTCTTATCTTTGACTTTGTTTAAACGCACTCAGGAATCATCATGATGATGATGGTCATGATGACGTCACTGATCAACTAGAGAACGCACATTTAATTTTCTTCTTTTAGCTATCATATTCACCTCGAAATTATAATCCTTAGCGAAAACAATTCATAGTGAAATTGGAGTGAGATCTTTTCCTACGAGCGCTTTTAAATAAACTTAATCTGAGAACCGTATTGTAATTTGGGGAAACCTAAAGTACGAACTTTGCCCTGGCATACGAACCTTTATCTTTCTATCTCGGGATCCTTTTCCCGTTTCCGATGCAAGCTTCACTCCTTATTCTTCTCATGATGCTCTTCTTAGTCGAGTTGGCTTTTGCGATGTCAACTCGAGCGGGATTTTTGACTGAGGTTGAAATTGATCGCTGTACGATACATTTTTTGCTTGTATATTTTATCTGTAGCTAAGCGGTCACAGCATCAGCAAGCAGTACATAAAATTCGTGATACCACAACGAATATTGATAAACGTTCGTATCTTCATATCAATCATAACATAGCAGATCATAAGATGGAAATTTCAATGCTGAAGAATAAGCCTGGTTTGGCCTGTCGCCGTTTCTTGCACCTTTAGTGACTTGAGATCTAAAAAGTGGCGTTTAAACCAGACCGTTTTAAAACGGACTCCAGCACGAAATTGCTAAACTGGACTTTTACAAGGGGTTAAACTGAACATATAGGCTACGGCAGCATAACTCTGTCTAGTCTGTTCTTGAATGCGTTCATAGTCGGAGATTCAGCGATCAGAATCGTCATTTCAAACGAAAATAAAAAAAAAGAATCAATAGTTAATACAATATTGATAGAATTTTTGACGATTTGCAATCCCGAAAATTCATTTCCATGCCGTACCGCTCTAAACAACACATTAAATTGAATGACTTAGTCCTTCAATTTCTGTGTAAATTCATTTTTCAAAAATGCAGAGATGCACTTTATTGTTCCAATATACTGTCTGATAAAAAAATTATAACTCAGTACTCACCGCAGTGAGTGACAGAGAGAGCATTTTCTCGTTGATGAAAACGTGGTCACGGACGGACAGACGGATGGACATGACGAGCACAAAAGCACCTTTTTTCAAAAAAAAAAAATGAGAAAATGCGCTATAAAACATAAATATTACGGAAAGTAGATGAAATAAGTGGATAGTGTATCGAAAATTGAATTTTGCTAATGCACGAAAAACCTCAAATAATTTGATTATTAAACATGAACCAGCATATTTTCATTCTATTTCGCACTACACGAAACTTGCGCATATATATGTAAACCATATAGAATAAAGCTTATATCATATAGCTTATAGCATAGCAGTTGCATATATCATATGGCATGTAGCATATAGCATATATGATTATATCATGCATTTTGTGGGACCCTTGCTCCGCAAGTGTTCAGCAAATTTGAAGCCCAAGTTGCTCGTTTACCACAATTCATTTTTCGTGACAGTGTGTACAAGTGTCTTTTGATGTGTACAAGTGTTCATCTTTTCAAACCCTGACACTACGTATAGGCGTGATAGCGTGATAGCGGTGGTACATGATTAAAAGTCTCTGCCTGAGAAGCACAAGTCAGGAATTTGTTCAGCTTGCATTTTTAGAAAACAATTTACAGGAAGTCTTGATATTATGAAAATAAATGTATAAATATATTTCAATAGTTACAACATGACCGATTTTATTTCGTCAAATTCATGCGTGACACACTTTGCTTTTGGCATGAGCTGTTTCATTTGTTTTGTAAAAGAAGTTTCATTGTCGTGCGCCCGAACCTAGCGTTTGGAAACGTCGTGTGGTCACCGAAACTTGAAAAAGACAAAAATTTAATAGAGAGTGTTCAAAGACGTGCAGCAATGATAATTCCGGGCTTGAAAGGCAAGTCATATGTGGAAAGATTAAAGGTTATGAAACTTCCAAGCCTCAGTTATCGACGTCTGCGTTGGGAACTCATTGAAGCATACAAGTATACTCATGGCTTATACAAGGTCCCAGAAGGATTACTAGAATTTGAAACAAGAACCAACACCAGGGGTCACGGCTATAAACTAAAAAACTGCGTTGCAACTCATCCATGCGACAACATTTCTTCTCGCTTCGAGTCACCGACATGTGGAACAGCCTCCTTGATAGTATCGTTGACGCTCCAAGTATGAACGCCTTCAAGAACAGACTGGACGAAGCTTTGCAGGAGCATATGTTCAGTCTTAAAATGCCTAGCAAATTACGGACCGGCAATATGTCCAGCAGCTATCTCAATCAATCGTCAGTTATGGAAAGATAGGGTTCCAAAGGCCCGATCTCTTGTGAATCAAGTCACGAAAAATTCAAGAATCGGCAACAGGCCATGGGCCTATTTCTTCAGTGCCGACACTTCTATTCTATTCGAGGATGAGGACTTGCGGTAGGGCCGTAATTTCTAAAGTTTTGATTAGGTGTTTTATACACACAGATGAAAGGAATAAACCAAAAAATTTTAACTCAGTACTTACTGCAGTAAGTGACAGAGAGCGCATTTTCTCGTCGACGAAAACATGAAGTCACGGGCGGACAGACAGACAGACGGACATGACAAGCACAATAGTTTATTTTCAGCGCATTTTCTCATTTATGGAAACAATGCACTATTGTGCTCGCCATGTCCGTGTGTCTCGTCGTCCGTCCGTGACCACGTTTTCGTCGACGAGAAAATGCGCTCTCTGTCACTCACTGCAGTGAGTACTGAGGGGAGCGCAGCCGTGCACCACCAATTTTGTGCACCAATAAGTCCTGAATCGAACGCCTTGGATTTCTCCTGATATCCACCGATCAGCCGTGCACCACTCGGCTTTGTCCTCCTCCGGCCTTGACCACCACCTGCCGTGCACCACCAGCCCGCGGAACGAATCTGACTTCCGGGCATCGTTAAATTACGTAATTTTACGTTCACCGCATCTGAGGTTAGGTTTCAGAAAGCATTGTTTTGTTCCAAAATTTATCGTCCTTCGACAATTTGCCGTTCGACCGAGGGCTAGTTCGACCCACCGCCTAGATACGGACGGCTTGAAGTGTTGAAGGCTACGTTCCGGAAGGCAGGAATCATGATGGTCCATTACATCCAGGGCAGTTGTGGTCTTCGGCAGGCGACCCAGTACTGAGTTATATTTGTTTTCATAAATGAGAAAATGCGCTAGAATGGGGATCACTTATAGAGTTATAAAGCAGCTACTGCCAAGCTTTATTATAGTTCATAGCTGTCGTAGTAGTTCGAAAAATATGTATCGACAGCATATCGATTTCAATTTTAATGAAATGTCAAGACGTGAACAATCTTTTTTTTCGGAAAAGCTCAACATTTAAATTTGTTCACAAGCTCGAGATTATTGAGCACGAGTTTGAAAAAATTTACTTCCTTAATTTACAATCTGTTGATGTCAAATGTTGGTAGTGGGCTGTAGGGAATGGTACTTGAGAAAATATCTGCGCTGGCTGAATCGGACCAACCGGCAACCGGTTGTTGGTTTCTATGGATACGGGATACTGAGCCACGTCGGACGGTTGAAAGAGGGCCCAGTCCAACAATTGCTTATTCGTGTTTACTAAATCGTGTAACGTGAATTTTTTTACTGTAACTAAGCTCATTGAACCTAAAATTAGTTGACTTATACTTTTAACCAACTGAACTGTAAAATCAAACATTACAACAATGTCATTGAATCATTTCTATCGCGTTTCAAACCGTCTGTTTAGGGTGTCTCTCAGACAAATTGGCACCATTTTTGCAACTCAAACTGAGGTAAGAATTGCTTTTAACACATAATCACAGGTGGCTTCTGCCCAAATTTTCATTTAAGATCTCTCCTGTAGCCCTTGCCTAAATGCTTTTCTAAAAATTGAAAAAAATGCACAGCTATTGCTAGATGTATGTATTTAAAAATCACATGTGAAATAATTGTTTTTGCCCATGATTTTTTTTTTAAATTTTGTCCTACATCCAGAGTGGCATCTCAATCTGATCAGAACCATAAGCTGTAAATAATTCTGGAAAATTGTGTATTGGCTGCCTATAAATGAAGTAAAAGTCCCTCTGTCCCTGTGCTTGCTGGTTGCTGGCTTGCTGCTTGCAATCAATTTCATTTTTTTTATAACCCTCATCTGATTTCTTTTGTAAAAATATGAAAAAAAATTATTTTTACCTGTGATTTTGAAAGTTAGCTGAAAACTAATATAGTTTATACATACTTTTTGTTTTTGGTAAAGATTTTTATCATTTTTTAGGAAATTCAGCCTGTTATTCCAGATTGATTAGTTTGTAAGGTTTTATTACCTGCATTTTGACATAACAAATAGAAAGCTAGGTATTTTAATCTTGCTTAACCCTTTTGTAACTGCAATGTGTTCTACAACTTTTTATTTATATTTTTCCACAGAATCGTTATAAACTTGGACTGAATATTTCATCTCCGTAAAAAATAATAGAATATATGTTAATGGTAAAAATTATATTAATGGGACTAGAAAATCCCTGTAGTAGCCTATGTCACAGTATGTGGTTCCAACTGAGGTGACACAATTTGCAACATCACTGATTTTGCTGAAAAAGACATTTTCGTAATATTTTTGTTGGTAGTTGAATAATATCACAAACTTCCTTTGGCAAACACGGGTAATAGCTTATTATAACATATCCCAAAAAGAACAAAAAATAATATTCCTTTAGATTGGACATATGTAGGTGCCAGAGTGTTTCTTATATGTCCCTGTAGTTAGCTACGCTTTTGAATTTAGTGCTACATGCAAGTTATAGAGTAAAACGTTGGGCGGGACATCACAGTCCTGTCAGAGTGACAGTCAATTATTTTTGAGATGACATAGGCACAGGAGTGTTACTCGTGTGTCCCTGTAGTTACCTATGCCCCAGGGTGCAGAAAGTGGAAGCAGCGTTGCCAATAATATACGGGTTTTTAAGGCCAAAGCGTTGCCAACCATTTTCATGATGCGTCACCAGGTAATTTTTAATGAAAAGCCATTTATGTTGAGTAATGAAAAACTATTTACAAGTCACAAACTTATTTACAAGGTTGCATGCACCACAGCACGTGTTACCCCAAATAACTAATTTTACCCTAAAAGCAGTCCGATTGTACAGCAAGTGTCAACTGAACATGTGATAATGCAGTCTGACCGCTCTAATGTGACCACAACTACGGAATCATAAACTTGTTGTTTGCATTTTTTTGGCGGGAACTCATTGCAACTGATTTCCAGACAAGCTTCACTGCATCCTGGTCCATGCAACGTACCATACCGGAAACCTTACTTTTTTCTAATTTAGTTGGTCGAAGACTGACAAATATAATAAACGCAAGAATTTCATTCTAAATGTGCCGGCAAGGTCTTCTGCAGGCATAAATTTTGCTACTGAAGTGTTGCCAAAGATCTTGCAATATACATCCACTCTCTGCACAGTGGCCTATGCCTTGAATGGTACGCTGTATGCAAGTTATGGAGTAAAACATTGAGTGGGACATCACAGTCCCATCAGTCACAAAAGGGTTAAAAGCTGTGGTCAAGGTTTATTTATAAAAAATAGTTTCTATTTATATAATCTAAGGATGAAAAAAATTGGCAACTGCCTTCCAGGCATGGAATTATACCTTGTTTTTGAGCCATGAATAAAGCTTTCCCAATCCGACCATTTTTTGAGTTGTGAAATTCCCGTTACCGTAGATAATTATTTCTTATTTCTTGCTGTTACCTACCAAATTGTCAACAAAAGTGCATGATTGAGCTGCAATATTTCAAAGTTACCAAAAATTTGTCACTGGAGCTTCAAACATTTAGTATAAATGTAAAAATTTCAAATTTTGCTGCAATCCACTTTGGTTATACCTTGGTTATACCTTATTTTTTTTTTTAATTTGACTTCCTCAACCTATCATGTGCCTTAATCTTAATATACAGTTCTAAATATCTACGTTTTTTGTGACGAAACAATGAACTTATTCACTTACTTATTTTAAGACTCAGCTAAATACTGCCATGCATGGGAACATGCTAAACTTTTGAATAAACAAGTTGGCATTGGTGTAATTTTAGATTCCCTTGTTGGTTTCCAAGTACAAGTTACCTGAATTATGCAGCAAGTTTTTTTTTATTTTAATAGTTTGTAGAATTCATGGGGCTAAATATTTATGAATCTTGCTGTATGTACTTTCAAGCAACCTGGGCTCTGCTGGCATGTGACAAGAGGCCAGCATTTGTTCAGCTCCAGTGCACCAGCCTCCCCTCCTGCTCCTGAGCCTCATCAGCCATCTAAGGTATTAAATTATCATTGTCACTTCAACCCAGCCATCAACTCCTGTAATATTTCATTTATCTATTCCTTTTGGTTTTTATCTTAGTGTTCTTTGCTCTTCATTGCAGGCTTCTTTACAATGTAAATGTTTGTAAGGCCAGACAACTTTATAACTGTAGTAACTTGACATTGTTAAAGTGACTTCTCGTGTTTGAAACTAATTTACTAGGCACCTTTGACTTAGTTAGTTGAGGCAAAATGAAAATATAAAATCCAAATCTTTTTATGTGCAAGAAGAAGGAAGTAGGTATATCACGCCAAACACATCATCCATATGCCATTTAGAAGATGTACGCTATCACATCCATTACATATTCTTGATATGCTTAAAAAATGAGATATAAAATATTGTTGCTAGACTGCAAAAAGGAAGCATTTATTGCACAGACGAACAAATTTATGACATAGTACTAAATTGGAGCAGCATTACATGCATGACATAACTATACTAAATAGAAGAGGTATAACATCCACGACGAATTTTTCATATACTGCAGGAGGAACCAGTGTATGACCGCCTCATCTGGAAGCTGGAGGTTTACTGCGAGGGTCATGAGAAGTCAGTGCTTGAGAGCTATGCTCGCTTCATAGCCATGACTTGTGCCCACCTGGGCATCAATGCTCAGCCTGCGTAAGTTTCTATTTGATGCCAGTTTTCTGTCTATTACTGTATCATAAATCTTCCCCTCAAGGCTTCAGGCAATGGTTTATTATTCATACCCGAGTTATGTTCATTTTTGGACTAATCATTTGAACACCACAAGGCATTAGGTAGAGTGTAATCAATCATTTTACAACAAATATTTTTATACATTTTTTTATGTTGAAACTCCAAAAGTTGTGGTTCTGAACCATCCCATGTTATTATCTAGTGTCTCTGTATTACCAGAATAATTTTTATTGCGCCTCGACAGTTATGTATTGATAATGCCATATGTTTACGTGTATATTAACGTTAGCACACAATAGACAGTTCGGCACGCCGACGCACGAGCGCCTGACGCTGCTCAAGTCTATCCACATCCACGGCAAGCACCGCGTGCAGTACGAGATGCAGACGTACCCTATGACCCTGACCCTGCACCACCTCACCGGCTCCACTGCTGACACCTTCCTCGAGTACACGCAGCGCATGTGTCCTGAGGGCGTGGCCATGCGTGTCACGGAGGTGCGTTCTGAGGGTGCAGCCATGCGTGTTACAGTAGGTGTATCTTGATGGCCTAGCATGCGTGTCACGCAGGTAATTCGCTTGATGTTTGAACCTTGATGGTGACTTGCTTGAACCATGATGATGATTGAAAGAATTTATTTATTATAGCTAAATCTGTATTCAATACCATTGCTCACCACAAAAATTAACCGAGCATCTCAAAAACAACCACGAGAGAACGAACAAAAATTGAGCACTGATCTCATTCCTTATGCCAAGGAGGTTTTGATCAAACGATTGAGGGCTTGATTGAGGTCGCTTGAAGTGCGCGTGAATCATTTAATCAAGTCGATTGATCGTTTAGCCCCTCCTGTAGGTATCGTGTGCTTGTTGTGTTAACCATGTGCGTGCCGTGCTCACCGTGTACATTACACATTTACCGTGTACGTTTTCCCGCAGCATCAACTGAGAAAGTTCCCGGAGCCAACGATGCGTGTCTTGAGCGACGCACGGACAGCGTGTCGCCACTCTTCGTGTAAAAAGGTAAATTAAAAATTGTAACCATTACAGGTTTAGTTTCCTTCAATTCCTCATCCCGCATTCATGAAGCTGGCTTGTTGGTGGAGACAAAGTGATGAGTTCCATGGGGAATTTCCACAATTTTCTAACATTTTCACTGAAAATTAAATCTCTCGCTGCGAAATTAATTCATGAATTCTCTTGAATACGAACAGAAAATTTGAACAGTTGATATGGACAAGTTTAATTTGACCGAGAATATCGCGATGATGCATGCAAACATGCATTAGAGCTCTTGTTAGCTTATGGTTTGCTTCTGAATTGAATTTAAAGAAAACTGAATTAATTTGAAGCTTCCGTTGATGCTTTTGAGGAAATAGAATTGTTGATGCTTGCTAAATGGGTTTCGTTAATCTCGTTTAATATTCCATTCATCGTAGCAATTCTTCTGTCGTGTATATTCCATGTTATCGATTTGGTTCGTGCATCTTATCGAAATTCCCTTGATGATCGATGTGCTTTTCTAAAATACAGAAGTCAAAGATCGAGTCCAGTTAGTGTGACGGCAGATTTGTGAAAAACTTATCACGATACAGAGAATGATTATATCTTCCAAACCATCCATGCAGTCCCTTTATATAAATCACTGCAACAATTTGGTGCACTGAAGAAACACACGAATTGCTATGTCTTTTGTTGAAATGTTTACACCCCGTTCACATATTTCTGCATTACTATATTCAATCCTCTCAGAGTGTTTCTGAACATTTTAACTGCGACTCCAAAATAGCCTTGAACGACTAAGTTATGATTGAAGTTCTCGCACTTGTTTGTGCGGCTACTATATGTTTGTGCGGCTACTATATGTTTGTGCGGCTACTATATGTTTGTGCGGCTACTATTTGTTTGTGCGGCTACTATATGTTTGTGCGGCTACTATACTACTATAAAAAGGCATTGAGATTAGAGACACTCTCTCACTTCGAAGTCGGCGGAATTCTCGGCATGTCTAGGCATTTTAAAATAACGTAAACACATGTAGACACGATCGGATGGTTCCGTAATGGTGTTCATGGCTTCCCAACAGATGTAGCAGCTACGTGGCGCGCCTGCTCTAAACGCCTGACGTAGCGCTGCTGCCAGTGTATTAGAAAAACTGTACTTAATCTAAAAGCTCGCCTCGTTGAAGGTTTTTACAATAAAAATTAGAAAAATGTTCAGTTGTTGTTAGGCCTCTAAAGACGTTAAACCGATTCCTGAAACCGGATTAGATTGTTTCGAAAATTCCAAACTAAAGAAATAGGCATAGAAACAGATTTGGGAAATAAATGTCGTGTACGTAGTATTTGAAGATGCATTTTCACTGGTTTAGCTCGTGGTCTCCCAGATTTTTCACGTTCTGCAAAGATTTTGTAATGAATGTAGAAGCAGCAAGTGTAGGTGCGGACTCTTGTGTGGAGCGGCGGTATGGAGGGAGGACTACTAATACAATGAGAAGCTTTGCTGTAAAGCGGAGACGACGGCTGCCAATCGGGTATAAAATGCCAGTTATTATTTCATATGCAGTACCTTTTAAGAATTTTATTTGCATAACAGTAATTTCACTTACCAAGCCACAATTTTCAATATACTATAGGCCTCAGATGGCCGGAGAAAATCCCCAAAACACGACAATATAAGTTCCGCGCATTATGAAACAACACTTGCAAGGTCTCTCACAAATGATGAAATATTGCCGAAACCAGAGCATCATGCAGGTGACGACCGGCCGTCAGGTGCAATGCTATGCGGGAGTTAAGAAGTGGTGGGGACTTCATTGTTTGTTTGATAGACGGACTTAAAAGGAGATAGTTTAGCTGTTTTTCGTAAAGCATTCGCTATTGTATTATTTTTGATTCAAAATCCGATTATATTTAATTATGAGCCCTTGGTGTATTTTGAAGTGTGATTATAAGTTATGAGACAAAATGGGCTTTTGTGCTTTTTTTACCGCACAATTAAATAATTTGTGATAGTTTGCTTTGATTCGCAGATGAAGTTTAATGGCCTTCATCCATAGAGCTAACCACATTAAAACTTCTTTGTTAATTTACCGTACACTATATCAAATCCGCAATAAATTTTGACTGTGATCTTTGCTTTCATGCTGAGACTTTAATGTGGAAATGGGAATGTTGTGCCTTGTGCGTGATAGTGGTGATGGCGGTGACACAGGGAAATGAGGAAAAATAACAAAAGGTGACATAGGGTGGCGAGTAATGGGAAAATTATATTTTGAAAAAATATACATATTTTTGATGATAATCATATTGAATAATATGCGTTTAAAATTACTTATTGAAGACAACACTTCTAAAGACTCCAGTGTCTCCGATGTTACATATGTACAATGAATTTCAAATTTTATTTTCAAATATTGAAGAAAATTAATAAATTTTCGTTTTCATATGAAAAAAAATAAAGTTTCAAAATAATTTATTCTGTCAATTTGTTCATGCATTGTGTCTGACGTTACGAGCGTGTGCAAAATTTTAGATCGATTGGATAGGTAGAAGTGTGTTAAATATTGATTATAAGATTTGTAGCAGACAAAATTATTTTTTCAATTTTTTTGAATATTAAAAAAATTATTCATAAAATTTTCTTAAATTATTTATTCTGACAATTGATTCAAGCATTGTCTCCAACTTTACACAAGTGTGCAAAATTTTAGATCGATAGGAAAAATATATAGAAGTGTGTTAAATTTCGATTATAAGATTTGTAGCAGGCTGACAAACGAACAACAACAAGTGAAGTTAAAGAGAAGTGTTGTAAAAAGGATCAAGGTATAGTAAATTTTACCGCAAGAATAACATATGAAGGGTAACATAAATATAACATGACGCTGTTTCCTAGAGGCCCTAAATTTCTAACCCCATAAGAAACCTAAATTTCTGACCTCAATAGGAGTTTCAATTTCTGACCTCAACAGGAAACTCAATTTCTCCGACAGGAATCGATTTCTGTTGGATAGTTCAGCTTAAATTTCTGTTGGTTAGATTAATGCATGGTAATGGACATCCGAAGCTTATATAAAGTATGCTGCCATCCCTCGCTGCTCACTCTTAATTTGATTCCTTCTACTTTAAGTTGATTGATATATTTTACATGTAACTATACTTACATCAAATTAACAGTTATTTATGCTGAATGTTCAATACACATTTTTTTACACATTTTCGTTAGGATAATTACAATAATTTTGATTGGGCATCATTTACTATGCGGTTACTTCAAACATCGAAACATTGAGTAACAAGCATGCATATGTTATAGGATATATAAGTATTTTATAGGTTAATATAGACATAGAAGCGTGGAGATGCGGTCGCCGTGCGGCGGTGCGAGGACAAGTTTTCGCCTCTTGGATGGAGGAATAACTAACAAAATTTATGTTATTTAAATTAATATAATTAAGTCGAATCGAATACAATATCTATATTACATGGTTATATGAACTGAATTAGAAAATAATTGGTTTTTGTAGATTAATGCTTTATAGGATATAACTGTAATGTTTTATTCTATTTTTCTATATATTTCTGCCAATATCTTTACTCTAATCAGCACAAGTTTTAACAGTAATTTTTGATGATATTTTGATGGATTGGCACTTAACTATTCATAGGTAGCCGTCTGTTTTCATCCAAAGCCGCTCATGTATGACACGATTATGCATGTCTTGCAATGAATTCACGTCAGTGTTAAAATAAACGCATTTCCATCATGAAATTTGAAAAAGCCGTTGACTTTTACCGTCTTACTTACCAGTTAATGGCCTGTAGTTGTTTGCTAGCTACGAATTTTCTTCACTTATACCGCAGCGACGTAACTTAATGGATACAGTGACTGTCGTGCGCGTGAAAAACGTCTGAGTTGAATCGACCCTTGCAATAAGCCTCCAACAATGACTTGAGTCTAGCAAACCAAAACATTACATACTACTTTGATTAAATAAATGCAAATTTTTAGGACACAATCCAGAAAATTTGTAACTTACCATAAATGTAATTGAAATAACCTCGGTCTCGACCCTACAGCTTTCATGGAGTCGCTGACTAGTTTTCACTAGTAATCGTACAAGCCTAATCAAGTCACATTATACTTCATGGTATCAAATCAACCCACACGTTTTTCACGCACGTCTTCATACAAAGACTGTCCATCAAAAAAGACTTGGAAGACCAGGATTTTTGCCGCTATTTCAGATGCTAAAAATAAGCCTAAAATACGTTGAATATTTTTTAGCAAACTAAGGTAATTTTTCATTTATTTTAGCTATAACTAAGTAGCTACGTGCCTCACATCACTGTCGAATTTCTGATATCGAGCTAACCATCTTAATCAAAGCATTTGCATACTTTGTTAAGTAACATTGATAATCGTATTACTATGCCACTTTTAATGAACTAATCAGCCATTAATCATTTACTTCAGTGTAAGTTTTACTAATTAAGTTTAGTTTTCAAGTCACTTGGCGCTGGCTCAAGTCGTTCTGCTATTGGAAAGTTTTATTAACTTGGAAGTTTGTAAGCCGAGCCTCAGTCAAACTGCTGCGACTAGTCTGATTAACTTAGAAGTCTCTGAGCTGAGCCTCAGTCGTGCTGCTGCGACTAGTCTGATTAACTTAGAAGTCTCTGAGCTGAGCCTCAGTCGATCAACAGCAAGTGATTCTGTTTAGCATATTATTATGTGGGCTGATTAGGCGGAGTTGAAATATCATGGAAATGCACTTATTCAGAATGGAAGAATTAATGTCTCTACTGTTCAAGTTTTGATCTTTTGTGTTGATATCAACATTAGAAATTATTGAAGATACTAATCAGTGTTTAAAAGAATGACTAAAATAATTCTAGTCGTCTGGGTTATTAATTGTAAATGATGTGTATGTTTAATAGTTATTTGAAATCGATTAGGTTTGTTTACTGATCAAGAATTTGATAAAGCAATACCTGTAACTACTTTATAGAAAAGGAATTTCGTGATGTAGACTACTTATTTTCACGTCTACATGCACAAGTGTTGCTCATATATGGCTGCTTATGCAGGTATACGAGTAAAAACTATAAAAATACACAGAGCATTGCATTCATACTGTGGAAGGTTTTATGATGATAGAAGTATTTCGCTACATTGCATGCATTTTACACTCATGAGCTACATCTATACGCAACACATAATCTACATAACGACCACATCAACACATACATGTTATCCCAATATATATGAACCGGTAAATGTCTCGGTGCTAGAAACGTACCTTCAACCCATAAATGAAAATGAAATGAATAAACTTCTCTGTCTGAATATAATGTAATTTTTTCGATTTTCTTTGACAAAATTCATATAAAGAGATAGTTCCAACCTCGTTAGTTTTCTCTGACATATAAAATGAATTTTATGCATAACATTATTAATTATCAGTTGATTCCAGACTGGCCTATCTTCAGTGATTAATAATCAGTTACCTTTTGACATGCCATCTATGAGGAATTATCAGTTACTTCATAATTTGAACGCAAGAACGTCCATGTCAATCAATGATGAACGTTGACCAAAACTTCGTGTCGGGTGCGGGGTGAACTGATCTCTTCGTAACTTCTGGCGAGTCCGTTAATAGTTTTTTCTTTATCCACAAGAACCACAACCACTGATTACGTTTTTAGAATCACTATTTTTATCAGGGATATTTTATTACGGCATATTTGTCGACCACTAAGATGGCTGACTTCACTGACATTGTATTGGCGCTTCCGACGTCACGTTTTAAAAATGAAATTGACGTCTCAAAAAACGCAGACTGCCATACGTTTGCTGGCGACGTACGGCAACATCTGTGCCAGCAAGAGGGCTGCGACGGCTGGCCAGACATCCGACGTCTCAAATGCATCGACGCCACTGTTATAAAAAAAATAAGGTTTATCAGACACACGATGTACTAGAATAAAATTAAAAAAAAACACGTCTGGAATGGAACATTATTTGATCAGCAGATAATTATTAAATGTTGCAGCTGCTCTAGGATCGACCAACTGAGCTTGTACCACGGATGATGCATTACCTTCTCTGCGAGAAAAAATTATATCTCTTAATAAAAACTTGCACCAATTGAATCAATGAATGTTTTTCCTGTAAATGTTCATTAAAGTATTAAAACAATATTATGCTAGAATGAACAATTTTCAAATTAATTCCATTAAGGTACAAAGTTCTAAAACAACTCTAAGTGTGCAATCGAGCATAGAAGAATTATTACTAGCAGGTGATAAATATTTTTTTATACATCTGCTAGGTGTATAAATCTATTTTATAAAGTTTTAGCATGATCTTAACTTACGGCGTCGAATGTTCCGCTGTTGCCAAGCTTAAGGCGGTCATCAGGGACTTCTGGAACAGAAATTATGTTTGGATTCAATTACATTCTGTTGGACAACATGCAGAGCCATTCGGATGAATTAAATTCAATACACGATATGAATAACAAAATGAAATAACGGTTGTGATCATCTCTGTATGAAACAAAATATTTTTATCAATTACAGCATATGTACATATCTTTTATTCGAGTCAAAACAGAACGGAACTCCAAATTTTAATAAACAGTTAAATTGCATATAACTGATGAACATCAACAAGCTACAGAATTTTCGCGACGTTCCAAATCATAAATGGCATGCTTCACATTTCATAAGGTTCGGCGCCCTCACGTTGAACATGCCGCTAATGCTCAACAGGTTCAACAAATAATTAGCATTTAGCGTGGACGCTAAATGCTCAGAAACCTCACTCACCTCCTGCTTGGGGAACAAAGAAGCTGCGAAGAAGGAAGTTTTGAGAGTTGTATCGTCGAATCTGCCATCTTGAATATCAATGCCGCCATCTTGCTTTTCACTGACAAGGTCGCCAAGTTGAACTTCGAAGGTCCCGTGGCCGCCATCTTGATTATTATTGACATTATATTGGCCGTTCACCAGTAATTGATTATTCATTGAAACGTTTCTACCAAACGCAGGAAAAACTTTACGATTGTCGGATCTAGTAGTAAATCTAGCGGCTTCATCAGCGCGTTGTTCATCAGTACTATTGACGTCAGCAAATAGTTCATCGGCACTATTGGCATCAGCGCGATTTGTGTCTACAACTGATTTACCAAATCGATCGACGTCTTCGTGTTGTTCATCAGCACCATTGGCGTTAGAAAATCGTCCAGCATCAATACGTGGGGTGTACATGCGTCGTGCCTCAACATTTTGAAGGTGAACACGTCGAGTATCAACACGCCGTGCATCAACACGTCGAGCATCAACACGTCGAGCATCAACGCGTCGAGCATCAACACGTAGAGCATCAACACGTAGAGCATCAACACGTCGAGCATCAACACGTAGAGCATCAACACGTCGAGCATCAACACGCCGAACATCAACACGTCGAGCATCAACACGTCGAGTATCAACATGCCGAGCATCAACACGCCGAGCATCAACACGTCGAGCATCAACTTGCTGAGCATCAACAATTCGAGCATCAACATGCCGAGTATCAACATGCCGAGCATCAACACGCCGAGCATCAACACGTCGAGCATCAACATGCCGAGCATCAACAATTCGAGCATCAACATGCCGAGCATCAACATGCCGAGCATCAACACGCCGAGCATCAACACGTCGAGCATCAACATGCCAAGCATAAACAATTCGAGCATCAACATGCCGAGTATCAACATGCCGAGCATCAACACGCCGAGCATCAACACGACGAGCATCAACATGCCGAGCATCAACAATTCGAGCATCAACATGCCGAGCATCAACACGTCGAGCATCAACACGTGGGGCACCAAAAAGTTCTGCACCAGAACGTTTAGTCTCAACACTTAGACTATCAACTCGTTGACCATCGACCCGTGTGGTATCAACACGTTTAAAATCAGAACGTTTGCCTTTGACGCGTTTTGTATCAACACGTCGTACATTAACACGTCGAACATCAACGTGTTGAGTCTCAACGCGTTTGGCATCAGTTTGTCTAAAGTCAATACGTTGAATATCAAAACGTTGGGCGTACGCGCGTTGGGCATCGAACCGTCGAAAATCAATGCGTTTGGCGTCAACGCGTCGAGCGTCAGAACGTTCGGCATCAACTTTTTGGGCATCAGTAGAACGGGCGCGCTGTGCATCAACCCGTCCACGATCTGCGCGTTGGGACTCAACAGTTCGAACAAGTTCACGTTGAACAGCATAATCACGTAGGTCATCAACTCGTCGAGCAGCAACACGTTTAGGTTCAACGCGTAGGACATCAAAACGCTCGACTTCAACACGTCGGGCATCGGCACGTTGGGCGTCAACACGTCGCGCATCGGCACGTTGGGTGTCAACACGTCGGGCATCGGCACGTTGGGCGTCAACACGTCGGGCATCGACACGTTGGGCGTCAACACGGCGGGCATCGGCACGTTGGGCGCCAACACGTCGGGCATCATGGGCACGTTGAGCGTCAACACGTCGGGCATCGACACGTTGGGCGTCAACACGTCGGGTATCTGCACGTTGGGCGTCAACACGTCGGGCATCGGCTCGTTGGGCGTCAACACGACGGACGCCAACACGTCGAACATCAACACGTTTTGCATCAAATAGTGTAACATCAAAACGTTGGCTGTCAGCACTGCGAATATCGACCCGTCGTGAATGAACAAATCGAGTAACCGTATTTCGAACATTCTTTCGTCGAACATGGTCATTTCGTGAAGCAACAGAACGTTTTTGCATTCGTCTCTCGCGATCAGACCCATGGATGTCAACCCGACGATTTACGGGGCTACTGTTGTCATCATCACGTTTGTCATACCTCGTGATGTCAATGCGATGCTCAACAGACCTGAGTTTTTCGACCCTATTTTCGTAATTACTCTTAATGTTTGCCAGACGTTCACCGTACATCCTGTTGTTAGCACTACGTGCATCATGCATCTTTTGGTTAGCACGAGGTTCAACAGGGTTCTTGATGTTAACACCAAGTTTGTAAAACCTAGTGCTGTCAGTGCGATGTTCAACGGATTTGCTGTAGAGAACTCGACTTTCATCAGGCCTGTTGTCCACGTGACGTTCATATGACCTTCTGGTGTGAACACGGCGCTCGTTAGACGTTTTGCTGTTAACACGAGGACATGTCTGACTATCGCGACATTTCAAGTTTCCTTGATGACTGATGGTTTTCTTTTGAGGACTTGATAATTTTTCTAAACGATTTTCCAATGATTTTTGATGATTTGTCACGCTACGTGGGCAACTTGACGAGCATTCTTGACGTGTTTGCTGGCATGTGTCAGACTCTTGATGAGCCATTCTGACCGCCCTTGAAAAAGAAGACCTAGGATCTGTGGTGAAACATTGAGGAACAGCAAAAATTTTGGCTTGGCTTGAGACCACATCTCTGCGTTCATATCTTGGCTGGTTTCTGCCTGAACCCGGAATGGTCCGGACGGACCTTGTTTTCGATTCCTCAAAACATGTCTCATTCGAAACAGATTCTGTTTGTCCGTCGTGGGTATCTTCTGCTTGAGACGAGCCCGGTGACAGCAGGATGTGCTTGAACAGGGCAACGGCCTCAAGATCATCCTGTGGAAAAGCAGTTTAATGGATCATTACTTTTCTATAACCTAATGAACTGGAAGGTGCGTCCCAATATGGTGAAATGTTACATCTTAGCCTCCCTTGATTGAGTCGATCGTGCTGCTATGACTTGAGAAAGAATGAAAATATTTTTACACGAATGCATTTTATGCCAGCCTTCACACTTACCAGGCACAAATAACACACCAAGTCGTGAAATGCAGTAGTCGACAGTCAATAAAAATAACCCAAGATTGGCAAGACGACTGAGTATTTCATCAGTTAACTATTGATGAAAAACTGCAACTTCAGTAATGTGAACACGACTGAGTCAGTCACCACGGGCTTGTGTGGCAGCTACTCAATCAGTTAATGCCACACGCAACACTCAGTTATCTGCACAAAATCAGCTACTCGTTCTTCGATAACGACGAACGCTCATATGCGAAATTTAATTTAATTTCGCTTATTCACTAGAAACAAAAACATTGTTTTTGCTATTACCATTATATCTATTTTTTAACGTCTGTTATTGGGATATCATCATTCCTAAAGTATATTGAGCGATTTATATTAAAATGCCGCATTGTTTTGCTCTTAATTGCGACAGCGCTCACCTGAAAGAAGGTCCTGGGACAAGATGGTGCCTGAGGCTTCCAAACACACGCTGGTAACCTGTAACGCAGTTATACTGATAGCAACAATTTAAATGATGACACAAGTGAGAGTTTTGGAGAATAGTTGTTAGTAGACCAGATACCTGGTCTGCCGGCACACAAAATATCAGTACATTGACGTGTCAAAATATGGTGGGTTGTCTTAGATGCTTGCGGTTAAATGGTTCTAGCGATGGCTAAATTAGACAACAATTAACTTTGGGAGTAGAATTCAAATGTGAAGAATAGGTTGGTTTAATACCAGTGGAGCAATCTTGACCTTAAGAACAGACCCGAACGGCGGAGGTTAATGTTTGGCTGTCAATCGTAATATTACAATATAATATAATATATTTATTATTGGCCATATTTGTAGGCCAAATCTGGCCTCACGCTGATTCCAGTGAGGCATCGTAGAATCCACTTCTACGATGTTTTTAACCACTTGGCCACCCCGACTTGATTGGATGCTTGTTTTCGGTAACTTATGTTAGTGTTTGGCAGCAAATGTTTCATTTTCACAATATCTCGAGGAGTTCTTCTCAGTTTAAGAATAGAGGCTAAAACCAAAAAAGTTGCATAAAACATTTTACTGAATAGAAGTCCTAGATGGGCACGAAAAAAAAATTTTGAGTCGTTTTCTAAAAATAAATTCTTTTATCTTAGAAACTTTAATCGAAGTGAGAAGTTTTTTCTTGGTAATAGCATCTTTAACTTCATAGTCAAGTTAAGTCATTAAAGGATTTTATTCTTGAAAGTTACCAATATGGTAACTTTCAAGCACGGCACTGTTTTATACTCCTTTAAATTATATATTAATCCACCGACCACATTCTACATTACATGATGTTGACAAACAAATAGGCGCACTAAGATCGAGCCGCTCGATAAAACAAACATCCACTGTAAAATCAAACATAACCAAAAAAGTTGCATAAAACATTTTACTGAATAGAAGTCCTAGATAAATAAAACAGAGCGTTTCGGGCTATGCCCATCATCAGCTAGTAGAATACATCTGGAGATACATGGAAATCAATTTTAGTACATAAATTTAGAAAATGATAAGGAAAGAAAGTAAAAAAACAACTATTGACCTAGAATCGAAAGAGGAAAAGAGCTGGATTGGTTATTCAATTTAGGTTTAAGTTTATGGATGTAAAGAGATTCTAAAATTCGTAAATCGGTTTGGCTGCTAGCGTTACAAAGAATTTTAAATTGATCGATGGACACGGGAGGAGCAAGTGAGCACTGTTCTGTATGANTAAAATTCTTTGTAACGCTAGCAGCCAAACCGATTTACGAATTTTAGAATCTCTTTACATCCATAAACTTAAACCTAAATTGAATAACCAATCCAGCTCTTTTCCTCTTTCGATTCTAGGTCAATAGTTGTTTTTTTACTTTCTTTCCTTATCATTTTCTAAATTTATGTACTAAAATTGATTTCCATGTATCTCCAGATGTATTCTACTAGCTGATGATGGGCATAGCCCGAAACGCTCTGTTTTATTTATCTAGGACTTCTATTCAGTAAAATGTTTTATGCAACTTTTTTGGTTATGTTTGATTTTACAGTGGATGTTTGTTTTATCGAGCGGCTCTTAGTGCGCCTATTTGTTTGTCAACATCATGTAATGTAGAATGTGGTCGGTGGATTAATATATAATTTAAAGGAGTATAAAACAGTGCCGTGCTTGAAAGTTACCATATTGGTAACTTTCAAGAATAAAATCCTTTAATGACTTAACTTGACTATGAAGTTAAAGATGCTATTACCAAGAAAAAACTTCTCACTTCGATTAAAGTTTCTAAGATAAAAGAATTTATTTTTAGAAAACGACTCAAAATTTGACCATTTCCTAAAGCTCACATAGACAGAACGGCAATATTAATGCATCAAAAGCTGAGAACATGGAAGCTATAGTCAAACTGTAAAGGGGAGCTAAGAAAAAGTAAATAAGTGGCTGGTAAGTCTTAAAAAAGCTTACGGATCTCGGTTGAAAAATAAAATAAGTAAATCAAGTGGGAGGTGATTTCCCCCGAAGTTGTGATTGCCCTCGGGTAGGGTAACCTATTTTGTGAGGACTCGCCCAATCCAAATTACTGTCAAGTTGGGACTTCACTTACCTGAGATGTGCTTAGGAGACCTCTACATCCATCATACAAACGGACTTAAACGGAAAAAAAATAATGGGAAAGGCAGTTTGTCTCACCCCCTTTGGAGATGGTCCCTAGCAGGCCAACCCAGGAACCCGACCTCCGCCGCTCCTACGAGCCCGAGCAGAAGAAGCGTCACTCCTGCCACGATGAACGGCGACAAGCTCCTGAAAGCTCCTCCGGTTGTCCGTCCGAGAAATCCTGCTGGATTTTGACTCCTAGCCAACGTCCCAGGGTTTCCTGAAACTCCAGTTTCACAATAAATTTTTTTTTCGTTCCTGTTCAAAGCTAGTCCAGTTTTGTTGAAGCCCTTACCGCATCCGACAGAGACTCGTTTTTTTGAGAGCAGTTTTGAATTTTCGAAAGAATCTAATCCGGTTTCAGGAATCGGTTTAACGTTGCCACGAGATGCTCCAGTTTTGCGGCTATTCGTTGTACTTCCGCCCCTGCCGGTTTCGCTTCCGCCATGTAAACGCAACCGGCCTATTGGCATCTCTTGGATAGCCTGAAGTAAACGAAGGCATTCGCTTCAAATTTGTTCCCATTTCCGAAATGGATTTAACTTTCAATTAGGTGCAACCTTTCAAAATAATCAATTATTTAAGTAGTGTATTTCTAACAGTTGAGAGCCTGCCAGAGCGCAAACACGTTTTTGAGGAATAATTGATGATGAAATATGACATTTTATTTAAACTCTTATCGACTTTTTTCTCTAACCTGAAACTCGCAAACATCATCACATTCACCAGGTCACCACACTCACCAGGTCACCATCACCACACTCACCAGGTCACCACACTCACCAGGTCATCACACTCACCAGATCACCACACTCACCAGGTCACCACACTCACCAGGTCACCACACTCACCAGGTCATCACACTCACCACATTATCACACTCACCAGGTCATCACACTCACCAGGTCATCACACTCACCAGGTCATCACACTCACCGGTAACGATGGACAACTTCGCTGGAAGTTTCGAGTTCCTTGCCAAATTCTCAAGCAGAAATTTCGATAAAGTTGCCACGCGAGGCAAAGTGAAAACTATGCAAACTGATCTCAATTCTTCAAAACTGAATTAATTAATTTCAATGTACTGAATTATATTTAAATGAATGAAAGGACGACCTTCTCTTTCCGAAGTAGCAGTCCAAATGATGAGGCGTCCGCCGTGTGAGCTTATATAGGCTCGTGAGGCCTGATATTTTTGGTGTCGATTTTCCGGTTTCACGGCTTATGCGTTTCAATTGGATGTTGTTGTGTTGGGGTGTGATTTCTTGCAGAAAAATTTTCATCGTAACTTTTTGAAGTTTTCATGAGTAAAAATCATAAAATGGAATCGAGGGGGAAGAGAATGATGGAAGGTTGCGCGTGGGCCGCGTGGGCTGTCCGATAAGAACGCCGTCGTTGTAAACTTCACGCCATGAAACGCAATTGAAATTCGTTTTTATTGGTCGCGGTCTTCAGAAATTTCAAATATAACTGTGCTTCAAAGCCACGTGTTCGTCTCATGTTTTGTAGATGAATAAAAAAAAACGCTCGTTGTCGTTTCACTTGGGAACATCCTTTTTTAGACTTAAAATTGTTTACACCTTGACCACAATCATTTTCCTCTTTGCTTCATAAAAGTTGCAAAACTTTCTGTAATTCCTAACTTACTTTACTTTCGTTTGCAACACTTGGATTGTGGAATTGGTAATCATGCAGGCGTACACATTGCGGCAAAGTTCGTCAATAATTATACATGAATTTTAACGTGTTAATAACAATCTTCACGTTATTATCGTCCAAAAATTCAAATAGTTTGTTTTTACGCAAGGTTCTCACATCTAACACGCCTAAAACTTTTATTCGTATACATTTCTAATGTATGAGTTATACATAGTTAAAGTTCTCAAAACGCTCTTCGTGCTTGTAAATGCCGCCTTCCCTTTGATGTTATCCGACACTTGCCCATCCAGAGCGTTTATGACTGAGACTGTTATCAGGGAGCTATTATATGAACTGTTAGCGATGTGTAGTGTGTCATGCTCATGCATGTCTCTTTTTAAAATCAAATGCCAGTCATATGTTGCTCCAAATGCTACAAATGTTTCAAATTAACTGGGTAGTAATAAATGTTTTATAGGACAGAAATGCTTCAAGCTCTAGTTTCCCTAACATTGTTTCTTGAGCAATACGTGCTTATAATCATATTTGCGTTATATATGTTATGTATGTTATGATATGTATCAAATTCGCGTGTCAGTAACATAAATTCTGTAGAACATAACATGCATCAAATCGTATATTCTTGACATGTACTTTAATGCAGAAATGTTTTAAATTAACTTGCCAGTTAGAAGTTCTGTATGGCAGAAATGCACAGACGAGATTTCTAATTAGCATGTTTTTAGGGCAGAAAATGTTTCACATAACCTATCTGAAACATGTTCTGTAGAACAAAAATGCAGCCAATCATGTCTCCGTTACATGTCCTGTTGGATGAAAATGCTTTATTTAACGTATTAGTTACTTGTCCTGTAGGACAAAAATGCTACAAATCATGTCTCCGTTAGGACATATACAACAAATCATGTCTTTGTTAGGACATATACAACAAATCATGTCTTTGTTANGATGAGCACGGCTCCCTGCCTGCCGTGCGCAGTGATGAGCACGGCTCCCTGCCTGCCGTGCGCAGTGATGAGCACGGCTCTCTGCCTGCCGTGCGCAGTGATAAGCACGGCTCTCTGCATGCCGTGCGCAGTGATGAGCATGGCTCTCTGCCTGCCGTGCGCAGTGATTAGCAGGCTTCACAGCGCTGCAGTGCATAAGTTTAATAAGAAAAAAATATTCGAAATTTAATTGATGAAAGATGAAGCAATAGAGAGTTGTAATTGGTGCTACATAACTTTGAATATTTCATTACTTAAGGTCGCAAAGTCGAGACAATCTAATTTATTACTGAGGTGTAAAGAATCTTATAGGATAATAAAGCATAGCTGCGAGCAAACTAAACAAAACAAAAACGAATCAAACACATAATTTCAAGTTCAAAAATAATTTACACTACTGGTTGATTCTTGTACTTGAAGTTGCAGCGACGGAGGACACGAGACTCAGCTGCACTCAGGACCTCACAAGTGCAGGTGACCACGTCCATTGATTGTTGTGAATTCTTCTTACCCTTAAGTCCGGGTCCAACCTATACTACCCCAAGCATTGCCAATTAAATTTATTATGAATTAAACAATATGTAAGCATATAATCTTTTGTAGTTGAACAACGTTACAGAATTGAAAATTTATGAAAGGCAAGTAATTTTGGACTATCGAGTTGCTCCTGATAGTTCCATGCAGCCACTGCGTACCAGAAATGATACATTTTAGTCAATAAGAAGTAGTATAAGCTGCATTTTACTTTTCTTATTAGGCTAATAATTAGCGTAATGTTCAGATGTGCCATTTGAATTTAGTGGTGGGTCACTGGATATTAACATTTAACATAACATAACATAGTGATGTCGGCTCTGAAGTGTAGGCCTGATGTGGCCTGTCGCCGATTCTTTTCCATTTCGTGCCTTGTTCATAGATCTAAACTCGTGTCATTTGACCGGATCTTTTCATGACTGGCGATAGTTTGAAG